ACAAAACTGACTAGAGTAAAAGAGACTGAATGGGCAGGATACAACATAAAAGTGGGCAAAGTTAAAAGCAAAAGAGAGGGAGGATGTGGTTATCTCAGACTGAGATCAATCTAACCATGGTATCTGGAAAAACACATATCCCTGCAGTGCAAGAGTTAAGTGCTCTTTTTGTCTAGGGGGCTCGAATAAAGCTGTATTATTGACTTGATCCTCAGTCCTGTGGCAGTCAGCGGCCCCTTCTCTCCTCTCCACTGCAGCTATGGAATGTCCATTGGCTTCCACACATCTAATGCAGGTCAATGGGCCTGCATAAGATGTGATGATGTCATCGGTCATTAGACAGCCAGATCCCAGGGGAGAAGAGGCTGTGGGGACCAATCTAGCAGTCTGGAGGGAGCTGATGGGACTGAGGATCAGGTAAGTAAATTTGCTTTATTTGAGTCTTCTAGGCAAAATGAGCAGTTAACTCTTGCAGTGTGGTGGGGGGCCCACAGCAGGGGGAAGGTTTTTGATTTTTTTAGAGTTCTTCTTTGAGGCCCAGATCTCGCCACTGGGCATTTCAATAGATATAAGAAGGCACCACAGGTTTAGCCCACACCAGATTACTCCTAAAAGCAAAATATCAATTTTGGGTGAACTGAGCTTGTAAACAGCTCTAGGAATCCACTTAGGAATTTAATTACATATGTCAGATCTTGAAATGGGGGGCAAAGTAGGCAGTGGAAACTTTGGATGCTGCATATGTTTTTGGGTCTGCAGTGCAAATGGTATGTGTGTGTGTGTGTGTGTGTGTGTGTGTGTGTGTGTAGGTACACCTGTATTTTTAATCATTGAAAGCAGAGAACTTTGGGCAAAGCTGTATTTTTAATGAAAGGACTAATGCGGAGAAAAAGCTAAACACATAGTAATCACTCTGCTTAGAATGCACAAAACACATAAACATGGAACATTCCTTTCATACATAAGATACAATTTTTAGTTAAAAGCAAATAAATAGTAGCAAAAAAAGAATTGCACTACTTCTAAACAAAACTAGCATGTAGCCACCACTGGTAATATAGCTGTGAAAAGCATTTAGAGTGTGAGCCATGGCTGCCATAAACTGATGTGATGAATGCTGTGTAAGCCCTTTTCAGTGATGGAGCAGTCACGTGCTATTTATACTATTTCCTAACTTTCCGATCCTTGTCTACAGCTAGAAGATTCCAGGCCTACAGTAGGAGGAACAGATGTCTGGTAAAGCACTAGTAGTACTATGAAGGTTACCAAAGCAAAATACCACAATGCATTGGGTATAATTCACGCAGGGTTCTCTTATAACACCTGAAAGCTTCAAGGATTTGACAAAGGGTCAATGTCACATTACAAGGGCTGCAGTTCTATACATCAGTTTGGAACCAAAGTGTAAATCTGGCCAGAACAATCTGTTGAGGCTTATTGAGGCTTTGGATGAGGCAGTGCCAGTCCCCCATGTGTACTGCATCTTGTATACCCACTACAGTTTCATGTATTTCAGTGAAGTAGAAGTTTTGTAGTGTTTTATTGAAATCGTGTTAACATATAATACACTTCTCTTAACAAGAATAACTAACTACTATAGATACATCAGAAGCTGAGACAGTGCATTTTACTATTGCACACCCTTGTCATCAATTGGCTAAGCACAGTTTAGTCTGAATGTATTATTATTATTATTATACAGGATTTATATAGCGTCAACCGTTTGCGCAGCGCTTTACAATATAAGGAAGACATTAGAATTACAATACAATTCAAGACAAGATGGTAAGGAGGGCTTTCAATCTAAAATGTCATTTATCGTCCTTCCTTTACAGCTGATGAAAGAGCACCAGAAAGAAATGGACTGCATTATCATTTACATGATATTTGGCATTTGATCATGCATACCTGAACTCCTAGTAAACAGCTACACAGATCAGAAATACAAATACACTTTTTGATTCATACAGCTCTGCCAGAGAGTACAACCACTCACACTCTCACAGCATGCGGAATGAACAATAAAGGGGTAGCAATAAGTCATCAACTGTGCTCTGGGCTTGCTGCGAATTCAGTTCACCAGGGTTCACCCGAGCCCACTCAAAAGTGTGACAGCCACTCCCCCCTACTTGATTAATGTATGCAGAACAGCCTGACTGGCTCCCTCCCATTATTAGTGTTCTCTGTACCAGAATCTCCACCAAAAATTGTTGTGTAAGTTTGCTCACTGTGTTTTGGGCACTTATACGCTACTAATAATGTTTCCTCTAACCCAATGTGAAAGTGTTTAAGCCAAGTGATAGCATCCTCAGACACACAGCACTGTATGATAAGAAGCAGAGGAGACAGTAAAGTTCTTACCCCTCCCCAGACATACCTGGTGATTCTTGGTGTTCCAGCAGTCAAATGGGTCAATAGATGATTGTAAGGAAATGACAAGTACCAGAGAGTGGCCGCTATCAAGTCAATGTGGTACTTTGCTCTGAATAGACAATAACAGGTTTGCTTTAGAAGAGAAGTAAAGCCAAACCTTTGTTTGGTTAACACCTGCTATCAGCTGAAAGGGTAGAACTGCCCCACAGTTGAGAAGAATCCCAACAATATTGTCAGGGCTCATCACAAGCAGAACACCTTCCACAGGGCTCTACACTTTCTACAGGGCTCCACACCTTCTACAAAGCTTTACATCTTCAAGGGGACACAACACCTTCCAGGGTACTCTACACCTTCCACAGAGTACAGCTCCTTCCACGGGGCTCTACACCATCCACAGAGCACAACACCTTCCATAGAGCACAACACCTTCCACAGGGCTCAACACCTTTCATGAATAACAACACTTTCTGGGGGTTCAACATCTTCCACTGAGCACAACACCTTCCACAGAGCACAACACCTTCCATGAATAATATCAGCCTTCCGGGGGCTCAACATGTTCTATGGGCTTAAAACCTTCCACTGGGCTCTACACCTTCCACTGGGCTCTACGCCTTCTACGGGGCACAACAATGATCTGTTCAGCCGAAAATTTTCCGCCTAGCTGCTTTAACAAAAGTCAGTTGAAAAATTGACTTTTGTCAAACTGAGCAGTGCTGTCAGGGCCACACACAGCTCAAATTTTGACCAAGTCAGCAGGACTCAAGAAAATTCAAGCAGTGTGTGGCCAGCTTTACTGATGTGTATGTGTTT